CGCCGCCCCGGAGCCCGGTGCCAAGCAGCAGCCACCGCAGCCACCACCGCAGCAGCAGCCACAGCAGCAACAGCCGCCACAGCAGCAACAGCCACCGCAACAGCCACCGCCGCAACAGCCGCCACCGCCGCAACAGCCTCCACCGCCGCAGCAACCACCGCAGCAACCACCGCAGCAGCCACCACCTCAACAGCCGGCACAGCCGCAGCAGCAGCAGCAGCAGCAGCCGCAACAGGCACCGCAGCAAACGCCGCAGCAGGCAGAGCAGCAGGCAGAGCCGCAGCCAGAGCCCCCTCCGGGGCCCTACGGAGAGGAGACGTGCCATTTCCTCAATGCCATCTTTCTCTTCCTCTTCAGAGAGCTCAGGGACACGTCCCTGGTCAGGCACTGGGTCACCAAGAAGATCAAGGTGGAGTTTGAGGAGCTCCTGCAGGCCAAGATGACGGGGAAGGTGCTGGAGGGGCTCAGTCTCAGGGACGTGTCTCTCGGCAGCGTCCTGCCCGTCTTCAAGGCTGTCAGGCTCATTCGGCCGGTGGTCTGTAACGAGGAGGGCTGCCCTGAGGAGCTCATCTTCGAGGTGGACATGGAGTACAACGGTGGCTTCCACTTGGCCATTGATGCTGACCTGGTCTTTGGCAAGTCGGCCTACCTCTTTGTCAAGATCTCCAGCGTGACGGGGAGGCTGAGGCTGGTCTTCACACGCCTGCCCTACACCCACTGGTTCTTCTCCTTCATGGAAGACCCTGTGATCGCCTTTGATGTGCAGTCTCAGTTTGAAGGGAGGCCCATGCCTCAGCTCACTTCCATCATTGTCAACCAGTTCAAGAAAGTCATCAAGCGCAAGCACACCTTACCCAATTACAAAATCAGGTAAGGTGTTCTGCCTCCTCGGTGTTAACTTTGCTCTTAATGGGTAAAAAAAGGTGGGTTTTTTCCCCTTGTACCTGCTTCTCTGATAGCAGGAACGTTTCCATGAAGGTGAGCACTGTTTTCCCTTGCGAAGACGCCACTGCAGTGAGGTGATGTGCTCCTAAATAAATGGCAGCATTATTAGGTGTCATAATTTTAAGGATCCTGGCAGGTGTCCAGCGACAGAGCCGTCATACCCCTTTCTGTCATGCGTCTGACCGCTCTTTGGATACTATGTGTTGTTTATGCTGAGTTTATTCTTTGTAGCTTGTATGACGTGTTAAATAAGGATCTTTGTTTTGTTTACCACAGTCTTCTGCAATAAGCCTTTTCAGAGATGAGTTACTGAAAATGCCAGTTTGAATTTTGAAGCGTAATTAGCTTTGCGGTGATGTAATTTTTAGAGCCTTCTCAGCCTGTTGTTCTGCAATTGAAGTTATAAAAGTTCTCATAAAGTGGATGTGTAAAATATCCCAGATTTGAATAGCCCTGACAAGCAACAAGTAGCTCTGATAGGGCAACAGGTAGCTCCTTTGAGTAACCTGGTGGTCTTTTCCAACGTTGAGGTACTGGGTTGCTCTCCAGAAGAGACCAGTTCCTGGGCAGCAGGGAAGCTATCAAAAACAAGTTTGCTTCCATTCTCTTACTGTGTTGGAAGGAGACTGAACTGTCGACTGTAGAAAAGAGCCCAAAGGAGGGGCTGGGACAGTGGGTTGTGGTGCAGTGAACACTTTCAGCACACCTAGAGAGAGCACTTAGAGCAAGTGATTTTGACACCTTTTGGACAGGTTTTTAGGGTGCCTGTTCAATCAGTGGTGATGTGCTCCTCCTCTTCAGCAGAGGAAGAAAGATATCTTCATTTTTCCTCTGGGAGATGCACCTGGGCAGTAGGGCACTCTCATCATTTTCTTAGAGGTAATGAGTGTCTCACATATTTCTCAATTTTAAAGTGTTTATTTTAATGTATAAGGAGTTGGGCATTTCCATGTTTGAGAGGGAAATACAATGTCATAGCTGGTTTTAACACTAGATAGTTGGCTGGTAGCACAGGTGCTTTTGGCCTTTCAATTTTATGCCGTGTTCTGAACATGTCATTCTGACCCTCTGCTTGTGAAGGGGGAAGGCAGGACACTAAGCTTAATGGGCATTAATTAAATTGTCTTAAGGAAGGAAGATTGGGTCATTTGGTGTCTTAACTCTGGAGCTTCAAGTGGGAGCACAGACCCCTTCATGGGAACCTTTAGCTGTCCACAATTGCTCAAGGTTTTGTGGAACACAGGCTGCCAACACCAGCGTGTTTCAGATGAGTTTGTGAAGGTAGATCCCTAAAACTTGGCAGCAGCTTAGTAGTAACAATACACTCCTACTTGGGGCATAGTTGGGAATTAGAACGTTCTGGGTGAGACAGTATGGAGAACTGATGTGAAAATCAAGCCCCTTTTGTTAAGATGTAAAACTCTGGGTTTTAAAAATAGAATTTGTAAGAATATATTGGCTTCAGATTGTAGTATGTTTGCATATTCCTTAGCAAAGAATGTATAGGAAGAAGTCAGGAGAGTCCTACAACTGCTTCATAACTTTAATTATAATAATCTTACTTAAAGCTTAATAATTTCTCATCTATGGGGAATGTGCTTATCCTCTCCCCATGTTTTTTCCTATGGCTTGTATGCCTTTTGTTTAAGTACTGTAGCCAGTATTTGCTTCCATGCTAGTTCAAAACCTTGTTGATATCTCCCTAGTCTTGCTGGAGTAAGTTTGTAAACAAATCTTTGAACAGCAGTAATTACTGCCTTGTAAACAACAGCACTTGGAATGTGAGGAATTCTCTTTTCAGCTGGTTGAAAGGGACACTTTGTTACCCTGTTGTTGTCTGCCAGTTGAAGTCTATGAAGGAGTTTTATCTTGTTTCAAGATGCTAGGTAGCATTAAAAATGAAAATAGGCCGTTGTCTTTTGTATTAGGCACTTTCGTTATTACTTGGTAGTGAATGGTATAAGAAGAGAAATTTTGCCAGTAGTTTATTTTGAACACCCTATAACTGAATCTGTGTGAAGCAGATCCCTCTCTCTTAATTGTAAAACAATGTACTGGAAAAATGCATTGTCTCTTCATGCAGGTTCTGTCAGTTGCTGCAGCCAAACTACTACACAGATACCTGTGTGTTCTTTCCAGTTATTTACAAAACGTTATGTAGCAAAGCAGTGATTAGCAAGATAATCTTTTTTTGTATCATCCCTTGTTAGGAGTGACTTTGTGTGATGTGAGTGACTTTGTGTGATGTGAGTAACTAGTCTGAAAGTGGATGAAGGCATCTTGCATTCCTGATGCACTCTTAAGTGTCTGTGAGGGCAGGCAATGTAGACTACTAGTAAGTGCATTTTAAGGTTTGCCTAGCACTTTATGTACAATTTTCTCCCTAAAAGCAATTGCTTACTAATTGAAAAAGGAGGCGTGCACTTTATGTCTAAGCAAATAAGTACTAATTAGTGTAATCACTCTTCTTTGGCTCTTTAAGAAACGTGTTTGTGTCTGGTAAAACACCCTATTTTGAAGCTGTTCTGCCATGGCTAGTTGCTAGGTCATGTAGTAGAGTTTGGTTACATCTTTGAAAACAAGGCTGCTGGTAGAATTCAGCGAGTGGTAGGTTTTTATTTTTAAAGTCATCGTTGATCAAGGATTTGTCAGTTCAAACGTTAGTAGCAAGAGTTACTACTGTTTTATGGGTAATTTGATCCTAATATATTTGGGTTTGCTTTGTAATAGGAATGCAGACAGCTTTTCTGAAAACATTTGAGATCTGTCAGAGAAGTTTCTTTTTCAGATGTTGGGAAGTTCTAAAACGCCATTTTTTTTTCTTCTCCAATATATATGAGTTCTGGTGCACTCTTGAGAAACTAGGTAAATGTGAGCCAAGATTATTTTTGTAATTAGCCTAACCTCAGTAAAGTAATGAAGAATTGTAGGTATAATTAATTAAACTCTAGATAATCCATAGTTCTTTTTTGACTTATTTAACTGTTTAAATTTTACCTTTTTTTAGTTCTAAGACAAGTTGGCCAGTGGGTGGAGCTTGAGAATGAGCATGGAATGCCATGTCTTCCCTGGTTATTGGTTGTAATATAACTGTTGGTGTTCTGCAGGTTAGCCACTGACTCACCAGCTGTCTCTTGTTGATCCAAGATCTTAAATGTTGGTGCTCTCAGAAGCCATGTTCAGTCACTCTTGCCCAACAGCATAGATTGATGTGGTGCTATATTTTCATGTAGGTTTATTTTACTAGAGCAGTACAGTAGATTCTAATTATCAGCACAAAGTGGGAGTTCATCTAGAGGCCTGAATCCAACCTTTGGATTTTCATTGTATATACTCAAACAGCTATTTAAAAGTATTACTTACAGAGATTTTTCGTGTTGGTTTTAACTTTCTATATCATGTCCTTCTAATAGAGGATAAATTGGTTAACACTAAGCTGAAGTTAGTAGCATTGCCACAGTGTGTTTAGACAGACATAATAAGGGCTATTTCAGGTGTCTGTCTCCTTGCTTGTGCTGTTGCAGTGGTGAAGGGCTCACCTCTCTTAGTTCTCTAATGCACTGTACCTTGCTTATTAAGCTATTATTAAGCTGCTTATTGGCAACCTTGATATTTTCCACCCCTCATGTCAGGTATATAGGTACACTAGTTATGTATTCTCCAGATTATTCTTAACAGTCAGCTGTAGTTTTCTTGTCTTGAACATGTTGTAATCTCATTTTGCATAGGTTTTGGAGAGCTTTGGGTCTTGTGCTCTTTCTAGGCAATAAAAATACACTTTGCCATAATGAAGATACAGTGGCCTTTGTGTAAAAAGAAAAAAAAAAAAAGACAGAGGAGGAAATACTTGCAGTCTAGTCTTCTTCCAGAATTTAATTTACTGGTATTTTTTAATTAATTATGTAAAAAAATCTTGACAACTAATGTATTTTATTTTTGCTTTTCTAAATTTAAGGTCTTGCAAGGTCATCTATTTAGATTCTAAGTATATCAGGTATTGTCTAAGCAGTGAGTCAGTTCTGTATGTTGTAAGAACACTTGTTTTCTCAGTTTGTTACATTTTAAAAAGCTAATGTTATATATTGGTTTCAGCCCATTTGAGAAATTACTTTGCTTTATTTTAATGTGTGCTACCACAGAGTGGAATAACTTTCTTTAGAAGTAATCTCATGAAGGATTACTTCTAACATTTCTATATCAAGTATAAGGTGACCTCCTGAGCTCCCTTCCAAGATGAATTATCCTTGGAAGTGATCACTTGCAATATATTTAGTCACGTTAAGTAGTTTTACACCTTATTTGGAAGCTGGGGCTCTGTTAAATTTCACAGGGAAGAACCATTAGAAATCTTATTTTGATTTGCCATTATAGAATGTAATTTGAGAGTTAGACAGCAGTTTCTTACTTTGGGCAAAACTTAAGTAATGTAAGTAGGTATTGATTTGAAGAGAGTTTTATAATAGAAATTACTTCATCATATGGTAATAGAGGTATTGGAAAAAGTATAACATTTAAGAAGGTATATATATTATTCATATGATGAGGTTATATTCAGAAATACCAGGAGTAATCTTAGACCTTGGGATTGTGACCATGCCTTTTCTTCAGAAATCAGGATCCAGTAAGACACCTACTTTCTCTACAGCTTTTGCAGAGGGAGAGGATCTGGAAGTTATTTTCCTGAGTGGTTTTCTACTGTAGTTTTGATACAAATCCCTCCAAGTAG